AAACTAATCATATATTTCTTAACACCTAGTAGTCTGCATTCATTGGCCTTCGACTCGAGCCTCCAACAGAATGATTATATCGACTGGCCAGGAGAGCGAATGTGGTCAGGGACCAAAATTAACAAAAGATGATGAGATATGAAAGATGCAGAACAGAAACAATCATTACTCGAAAAAATATCTAGTATTTCATATGCTGGTGTGTTGTTTATCTAGTATTTCTTCTCAACATCTCTGGATGATCGATAGTGGTAATAGATAAATTGAATCATTATCTGACCATGAAATTAAGGAATAGTGATCAATTAATATAATATACCTACACAGATCATTCTTTATATTTCAAGATGGTTTGAACATAATGTCGTGTAGACATGCAACAAAGGATACAAAAGTATCAAGGAGCACACACCCTCCAGAATCCACCAGCCATGGCAGATTCGGTCTTATCTTCGACCACTTTAAGATGCTAACAAGTATACTACAGAACAGAAAACACAATATCAAAAATAAATATGAAATGGAAATGGAGACTCGTCTGGAACTTGTTACTTGAGAATATATAAAACTAGATATTGTACAACCTCAAAGAAATGATATGTTGGAAGGGTAAGGGTAAAATTCAGCAGTGATTTTTCTTACCTTGCAACATATGTAGCATTGCCAACAATAGCAAAGACAAACATTAGAGGATTCAGCCTCTGCATATCAATGTATTGGGATAGTAGTAAAAATACCACTTACACATATCAGACATTATTTCACATTTCATGCACGTCTGGTTGTTGAATGGTCAAATATTTAGGATATGCATTAAAAAGGTAACGTTTTCCTCTTTTTAGTCCTTATATCAAAACTGACCCCAACGTTTCCTCTTCTAATCTGCAGAAATTGCACACAACCAAGTTAGTTGTCGACCATGGTAGTCATGCACTCAGAAATGATATTATAACTATCACAAATGCTATGCTGCTTACATTTAGGCAAATCTGTGGAAGACGTCCACCCAAATAGATAGCTGTCATTCCCCAACCAAGGAATGATCCAATATTGCTGCTCTTTGTAATTGAAGTTTCTTGTTCAAAATCTCCAGTTACCTGCAATTATATATGTCAGCCTTTATTTCATTATGCTTCTAAATTATAAAGAACCACTAACACTGCAAGAATAAAACATCCAAATGAACATGGCATTATTTAATCCATGAAAAGTCACATTATAATGAACTCAATTTTGAGACATTACAAGACATAAACCATTTCAGAGAGAAAAGGTCACATAGGAAATGTCAACAAAGAATCCACAACAGAAAAATTCAAGGGAACAAAAACNACAAGACATAAACCATTACAGAGAGAAAAGGTCACATAGGAAATGTCAACAAAGAATAAAAACCAGAAAAATTCAAGGGAACAAAAACGAATCAATATGATGAGTTATAGTATGCATAAACCAAAGAATTTTATCATCATAAGCAGAAATTACATGTCCTTTTCCATTACCTTTAAAAGTTGTCTCCCTACTTGCAACACTACACCACTTGTTGGATTTTGTAAAATCATGTTGTGTCTACTGGTCTCTGCTTGTTGCAGGTTTAGACCGCCAATGAAGAACGTCATTAAGGAAACCTAAAGTACCAGAAAGTCAAAACCTTGATCCAAGAAAAGAATAAGTGGAGATACTGACTATTTCTAATTTTTGCTATACTGCAACGAGACTCACCACACACAACATGGTTTTTGTCTTCGGAGGTGCAGATTGCATTGATCTAGCTTCACCAAGCAATGGCTCTCTGGTACCTTGATGTTCAACATCTGGAGTTCTCTGAAGTGGGAAAGATCCTACAGTAGGGGTATGACTAATTTGAAGAGATCGTACTGACCTGAAAGCACACCAGAGAGAGAAAAGGAGAATTTATGAGCAAAATTCTGAACATCTACAAATACAGGAATACACAAGACACGATATTTCACTAAATCCATGTTATAAAATGATCAGTTTTTTGTTCAAATTCATCCAGCGATGTGGAAGTCATTCCAAAAAGCATGGTCAAAACTTTTATTCCGTAAAAATTAAATTGTGAACAATTTAATTATACACAAGGTAGTGGCGCCAAACACTAAGATCCTTTGCATCCTGGACTATACAATTATATAGGATACAATCCAAAATAGTCATGCTTCTTTCTTATTTAAAAAGAAAGAACACCAATTTCTCCCCTCATTTTTATGATATCTATTAGGTTTTAGATGTTTTGTAA